CTCCCTCTCTCCCTCTCTCCCTCTCTCTCTCTCTCTCTCTCCCCCTCTCTCTCTTCCCCCTCGTTCGAAAACTGCTGCTACAATACGTTGTGTAATAGGCCGTAGGGCCGAAGACGAAGTATTGTAGCCCGAACATGGTAGGCTGTATGGGTGACGTCATAGGCGGCGGTTGAGCACTGCGTTGACGCTCACGCATCCCCACGCCCACCCGCGTCTTTGATGTCAAGCTGCTTGGCTTGGCTCTGTAGATCGACACTGAGCACTGGTAGCCCCAGTTTGACACCACATGCGAAGCAACAATCACCAGCTCAAATCGCAGCGTTATCCCCGATGACCGTGTCGGACATATTGTATGCATGCCTTGGGTTGTCTCATGCTGGGGTACCGTGGGAAGGTCTGCGGACGGTCGACGGAACGGTCTACGGAACGGTCCCCTGATCTTTTGTCGTTCTTCTCCGCTCCCTCCTGCCGCCGCCGCCACCGCCGCCGCAGGACGCGAAAGTCGCACAGGATGCCCTTGATGAGCTCCTCGCTGCTGGACCAGACGTTCGAGTACTGCTACGCGTTCTTCAGGCAGGAGCGAAACGAGGTATGATAGGCTTACGGTCAAGGCGGTTAGGTTATTCACGGAGAGAGAGCGTGAGCTGGTAGGTCGCTTACGTGAGGGTTTAAGGTTAGCAGCAGGTGGTTGAGGGTTCCACGGGCGAGGAGGAGGACCGCTGAGGTGATTTTGCGGACTCGTAGCGACTCTTCGTGCAAAGCGGCGGTCATCTGACGCTTCGAGTACACGTGTCGAACACGCGTACTTCTTTCGACACCACGAGATGAGCCGTGCTCGCTGCTGGCACCTCACGTCTGTGAACAGCGCGTTGTTGCGCAGCCCTCGGCTTCTGCTTGTGATCTTGTGCCAGACTGCTAAGCAGTCACAACACCCCCAGGTTGAGATGGTGCTCCCGCTACCTCAAGCAATCATGAATTCCCTTCGGTCTATGCTGCAGGGACAGACCGGCTGGCCCAGTATTTGCTGGGCAAGTTTCGCGGTGGACAGATGCTCACTTGGCGGATATCCATCGTGTACCATGAAACGGGTTGCTGTTGGATTGCGCGTCGCCCCTTGTGTCCAGTCAGAAAGACGATCGCAAATTAATCATGGTCTGGTGTGTCAAGAGTGTACGGTGCCTTCATTTGTCTAAAGGGTCGATCTATTCTCTCTCCTTTGTACACGGGCGAATGGCGCGCGATTCACGCTCACCGCTCAATTCTGAACGTTCATGTAATTTTTGTGTTGTAGGCTGTTGTTGCCTTTTGTCAGTTGACATGTTGACCGCAATGTTCTCCCTCCTTCCCTACCTCCGGGGAAGAGTGCGCCCGTGGCATGTTCCAGAAGTCGGTTGACTTGTTGACCGTTATGTTCCCGCTCCCTCCCTCCCTCCCTCCCTCCCTCCTTCCCTCTCTCCGTGCAGGAGTGTGCCCGTGGCATGTTCCAGAAGTCAGTTGTCGTCGTGAGCCGCTATCCTTACGTCAACCTATTCGAACGCCTAGTGAAGGTGAGGTTTATTCTTCTTGTTTGGTCGGTCCAAATATATCACCCGTGTACATTGCATACCACATCGGAAGCGTTTCGTCTACCGTTGTGTGTATGTGTATTGTGTTGTGGACCATACGTCAACCTATTCGAACGCTTAGTGAAGGTGAGGTTTCTTCTTCTTGTTTGGTCGGTCCAAATATGTTACCAGTGTACATTGCATACCTCATCGGAAGCGTTTCGTCTACCGTTGTGTGTATGTGTAATGTGTTGTGGTTTGGTCCTTGCTTTGCTTTTTTTCTTTGTGTCAGGGGGGCATGCCCCACCCAGTGGTCTCTAAACATCGTGTCATGAATATGTAGACTGGGTCGTGCCCCACAAGGTCGTCTCGAAAGTTCGTTTCATGAATATCTAGACGGGGTCATTTATCTTCGGCCACAACCATAGTCCGCCTATTCGCGTGCATCTCATGCATGCGCCCCATCAATGCGTCCTCCAGGTGATCGGGCCGCTTTACTTTACTCATGGATCGGCAGTCCTGGAGGCTGTGTTTTCGTCTTTCGAAGACTGGCCCGCTCCCTGCCCGGGATCCCTATGCCCCCTGCCGTTCCTAGGGGAGACCGTCATGTTCCTGGTCCCCGACATCGACATGCCTCCACAGGTGGCCTCCAAGTACAGATACCACCGCGGGGTTCACCTCTGTGCCTCCTGGTCTAGAGCTCGAGTGGTGAGCTTGACGCGCACCCTCAGCGGCTGCGGCAGCATCAGCTCCGGTTTCCCGATTTCGGGCGGCAGTCCGGGCTCTTGCCGCAAGGGCGTTGGGCCGTCACCTTTGGAAGGCCCCGAAGGCAGCGGCGGGGAGCAGGAGAAGGAGCAGGAGGAGGAGGAGCAGCATCCCGTTAGCAGACAAGGAAGCACCGGAGTTGGCGAAGACTCTGCCGGCGCCGGCGCCCCCGCGGGTGGCGGTTGCGGCGTCGAAGATCCCCCCCCCATGTCAGGCGGCGTCCCGCCTCGAAGCGGCGACCCCGCGAGCATGAACGGCGGTGCGAGCGTTTGTTTGCAGGGCGCGGGAAAGCGACCGTCCGCCGGTGCCGCGCTCGAGGACGACGGCGCCCCCGCCTTCTCCCCCCACCACTGGAAGAATAACTGCGGAACCCCCACGGGCGAGAGTAATGGTCAGGAGGATTGGGGGGCGGTCCAGGCTAGGCGGACGCCGTCGCCGGGGGGGAGCGGGGGCGGGGGGGCGTTTTGGAACGGACCGTGTGGTAGCCCGGAGGGGCTCACGTCTCCCAGTTTCCGGCTTTCGGCGGGGGAGGCGCTCGGGGAAGGGGGCCTGCCGCCGGGAATGCGGGCGGGGGGGCACGGGAGATCGTCTTTTGGCGCCGGTTCGATGGCTTCCGTGATTTGCGAAAGTCCGTCGGAGGTGAGGGGAGAAAGTTTTGCCCAGGTTGGGGGGGGATGCTTTTGGGTAGCACAATACTTACTATGCGGACAATCATTGCCCCACGGACAAGCCTTCCAACAGGTGCGCGACTGACGGGTTACGACCCGCCGTCCCGTCCCGCTCTCCGTACGCGTACCATGTACCGTTAACAGAACTGGTTGGCCACACCGCGAAGCGGAAGCACGCCGATCTTGACTCTGGACGGCAGGGCCGGGTCGAACCTTGCGCAGAGTTGCTACTACGTTGCCGACCAGGATAGCGAGGAAGACGACGAGGACGAAGACATGGGCGAGCGCTTCGTGCTAGAGGAGGAAGGCTGGCAGGGAGAGCAGTGGGTGGAGAACGGTGGAGGCGATCAAAGCGCCGTCGGAGAGGCCGCGGCGGGGCGGGAGGACGCGGGGGAGGGCGGGGGCGACGGGCGGGATGCCGGAGTGCGAGAAGGGGAGGGTAGCGCCGGCGAAACGATGCTGGAGAATGGACAGCAATCAGAGGTGGCGGCCCCGGTGGGCTTGCCGGTAGCAGGGGACCTGTCAGATGCCCCGACACACGCAGCAGCTACTGGCGACCAGCCAGAGACGGTCACAGGTGTTGATGGCAGCGTCAACGTGAGTGGTGGTGCACCCGCAGCGGCAAGTACCGCCGCCGCCGCCGCCGCCGCCGCCGCCGCCGCCGCCGCTGCCGCTGCTATGCATGCTGCAACCGCTGCTGCGGCAACCGCCGCCGCCGCTGCCGCCGCCGCCACTCATGCCGCCGTGAGACAGGCTCGCCTGACCGACCAACCTGCTGCTGCTGCTGCTGCTGCTGCTGCTGCTGCTCCGTCTCGAGCATCTTCCGCCTCAGCATCAGCAGCTCCGCTTACGACGAAACCCGGTGCCTCTTCCTCCAGGGGTCGCGCCACGAGCCTATCACCACCGCGATCCGCTGGTCCCCACAGCCTCGCGGCCGTGAAGTCGAGCAAGACACCGGACCCCAGGTCCGCGGGCGCCTGGTCCGCCCTCCGCGCCTGGGCGGACACCGCGCCGGAAGACCCGTGGGACGTCCTGGCACCGCTAGAGCTGCCCGCGGCGCTCGCGAGGAGGGAGTCGACGACGGCGGCGGCTGCGGCCGTCGCGGAGTCGATCCGTCGTGAAGGTAGAGGCGGCGGCGGTACCGGCCAGGAGACTTTGTTGACGTTGCCCGGTAAGGTTAAAGCGGAGGGCGGCGGCGCGGAAGCGAAGGCGCTCTCGAGGTCAGTGCCGGCGGCGGCACCGGCACCGGCACCGGCACCGGCACCGGCACCGGGGCTGCGGACAACCACGGGCGACGAGGCCAGTAGCCGGGAGGACTCTGCTGGTTCTGGTTCTGATTCGGCGCCGAAGAGAGGGGCGGGCATCGTTGCTGCCGGAAATGGGAATGGTGCCGTGGGCACGGCCAAACCCAGGGAGGTGTCAAATGGAGGGCGCGTCTTGCCGGGTGCGGACCCGCAGCGTTCGAAACACGTTGCTGCTGCTGCCGCTGCTTCTAGTGGTGCCAGCCGCAAAGACCTGCGGGCAGGAGCGCCAAGGGGAGCACCAAGCTCGGGAGGTGCCGTTGCCGCGCCGCCGGGGGAAACGAGGCCCGTAGCGTCCGAAGGGGGGCGGGGCTCGGCTGCCGGAGAGGAGGAAGGCGGAGGAGTTTTGTCGCTGCTAACGACGGCAACCGCTGGGGTTTCCGCGGTGGGAGGTGTTCCCGGGGCTTTCATCACGGCGGAGGCGGAAGCCGTGGCGGTTACGGGTAATACGCGTGACGGCGGTGCCCGCGTCCAGGGCAAGAGAGACGATACGGGTGTGGGTGCCGTTGAGGGTAAGGATAAAAAGGGCGAGGGCGACGACCCCGGTAGGCAGCTCGCTAGGAGGGGGTCTTCCAGCAGCTTGGTGTTCGGGAGAGAGGGACGCGCGTCGACGTTCCACAGGTCCGGAAGCCCGGATAGCAGGAACGTCCAGATTCACCGCACCGCCAGGTGCGTACAACATGTGTATTGTAGTCGGCCTCGATGCGTGTCCAATGTTGTCACTTCGCCGTGCCGCCTGGTGACGATCATGTCGCGTGTTTTGCAGCAAAACTCGAAGATGTAGGGCTGTGTCAGTTGCGGGCGACACGCCGGTGTAGTGGGCCGTAGCGTAGCGTGCGGTATCGCTTCTGTGGCGACTTTGCCGAGTAGGTATGGCCTGAAGTCCTACTGTGACGCCCCGCACTGTCGGCGTCGTGTTGCTCTGTCTGGCTTGGTGGTTCGATTGTCCTCACGTACGATTATACATAGGTGCTTGGGCCGGATGCAGACATGCTGCTGTACCAGGCGACCTATTGTTGTATGCTATCGTTGCTCATTCTTGTCCGCGTTACTCCCCTGGTTTTCCGTGCGGAATAGCAGCAGTTGGTTGCCACGGCGGACCAAGAAACAAACCTCCTGTTTTGACCGTGGACGGCTGTTTCGCTTGTATATGTACATGGTTGAACAGCTGCCGTGCCTGACACTTGACTTGAGAACTGTTTTTTTTTCCGTTGGTGGGAACCCTCATTGCTCGAAACCTTCCGTATCCCCGTGCCAACCCGGAGGTGCTGCCGTTGTTCGTCCACCGAGGTTGTGCGCGCGATACCATATGACGGCAGATTGGCTGTTCCTTCCCTCCTTCCCTCCTTCCCTCTTGTTGTTTTGGTTGTTGTTGTGGTTAGACTATGGTTTTCAATTCGTGAACTCTCTCACTCCGTTCCAGCACTCACGCGCCACAACCCATTCACGCATTGCACCTCCTTGTCTCTCGGTTTTTTAGGCCTATGCATACGGTACATCTTACAAACCAAGGCACTTGCACGGATGCCGAGTGCGAATTTCAACATCCCGAGGTAGCAGGCCATCACCTTCACCAAGTGTTGGCCGTCTCACTCTCTGTCCCCGCTATGAAAACCCTCGGCCCAACCATCCAACCATTCGGCCCAACAGCAACTTGCGAGGAGGCCGGTCACCCTTCGCCGAGATGCTCCTGGCGGACGAAGCCCGCTTTAGAGCCAAGCAGGGCCTCTTCCAGAGCATCGGGCTGTACAGCATCTTCGGCAAGAAGCTCGTCGAGCATCTGTGGCTCTTGTGGGAGCTGGTGCTCACGGGGGGACCGACGCTCGTGCTGGGGTCTAGCGTGGGGGCGTCGTCAGCGGCGATTCTTGGGATGGTAAGTAGCGACGGTTTTTGTCCATATTTCTTGTCTTGACCTTGCCGTGTACCCGTAGTTGCTGGGGCGTCGGCGTCGGCGACCTTTGTTGGAACGGTATGGTGGGATGCACCGCGGTTTGTACCCGTATTTGTTCACGGGCCTTGCCTAGTAGCCGTGGTTTATGGGGCGTCGGCGTCGGCGTCGGCGACCGTCCTTGGGATGGTTTGTGGTACGGTTTGCGCCTATGGTTTCATCTGCGACTTGACTTGTAGCCGTGGTTTATGGGGCATCGTCGTCGTCGACCCTTGTTGATTTGTGCGTGTTTTCTCGCGGTGTGGTCGTGGCTTCTTGGGCGTCGTCGTCGTCGGCCATTAGTGGCATGGTGCGGTTTTAGTCCATATTCTTGTCTTGCGTTTGCCGTGTAAGCGTAGTTCATCTGGGGCATCGTCATGGAGCGACCATTCTTGAAATGTACGGGTTTTATCCACAATGTTCGCCGCGTCTCGCGGTGTGCCCGTGGCTTATCGGGCGTCGTCAACGGCGGGCATTCTTGGGTGGTACGGTTTCTCGGCCGCCACTCTTGGGGGTGATCCTCGCCAATCGTTGGCCACTCTCGGCTGTCTAGCTTTCGCTCTCACTGTTATTAAGAAATAATGAAGTAATGGTGTTCTTGCATACCACGTCTTCAGAGGTTTCTGAGTCCCAACCGAGCGATCGTTGTCTCCCGAGTAAGCGTGCACAAGTCTGAGTTTCTTGTGCTTTCCATGCCTGCGGTACGCGTGGCGTTTTTCCTGCGGGTGGGACAGGTGAGCCTCGCGTCCCCGGTGTACTACGGAGGGGACTTCCGGCCGCACTTCACTACCTTCGACCCGGACTACCGTGAGATCGTCGCCGCCCACGATAAAGTCAGCAAGCAGCAGATGTGGGGGTAAGCTAACAAGCAAGCAAGCAAGCAAGCAGCCTATTACCATTGCATGAAACACACGTTCCATGGTATGATATCATGGCATTGTGCCGGTCGTATACTTTTTGTTGTTGGTTGGCGGTTTCTGAGCGTGTTGTTTCCTGTTGGCTTGTTTTTGTGTGGCTTTCAGGCGTTTTTTTTTTGTTTCCTCGTCCGTAGGTTAGCAACAGTTGGTTCAGTTCCGGCTGCCACCGATCAGGCCGTGCGTTGCGTGTCCTTCAGTACGAGGTAGAGCAAGTGGTTGAGCCGACGGGCGTAGTTTTCGGTGACAAAAGTAGCATGTGATCCGTCGCTCACGAAGATGCGTGACGCTAATCACGAAAGTGCGTGGTATGGTATCGCATTCTGCTGCACATGGCACCTATTTCCCACAACGGCGTTCGTGACATATATTGATTGCATTGATTGGTGCTGCCGGCGTAAGGGGGGAGTCATGAGACAACGAGCCGTCGGAAACACTTCCACTGTCCACCATTACTGGCCTAATGCATACCTTGTCTACGGGAACAACGATTTGATTGTTCGCCCCCGATGCCTCCAAGCACCCGGTGTGCAAATAATGGGGCCAGGCCTAACCTCTAGGAGTTATTGCGATTGGCCAATATGTTCCTTTTCGCTTCCCAGGTCCTCAGTTCTAGGAGTACCTGCGGCAGGGTCTGCGGCGGGCGCCGGGGGCGGGTTTCCTAGCCTCCTGCTCGGTGTTATTAATCCGATCTTCCTCAGGACCTTGTCAAGGTAAGGTATACACGGCATTCGAGCGCATTTTCGTTTTTTGAAAATTTTGTTTACTGTGCCGTTTTGCTGTTAACATGACTGCTGTTTGTTCCAAGCAACCGCAGCCTTCAGGGCAAGGCTATAGCTGTACCGTGTGTTGAGTTCATCCGGTGTGGACGGGATGAGTGGTGACTGGCTGCTGCTTTTGGCAGATGCACCCAGCGTCGAAAAACTCGTGTGGCCATTCCCCAACAAAAAATCTTGTCTCGGCAACCATCGTCAAGTCTCCCACGAGTCGTTCACCATCACCCGCAATTTCAAGCATCTTTTGAAACCAAACCACTTCATCAACCCATGGCTCGACACCTGGAAAAGTACCGAACCTCGGCATTTGCCACGCACCATGAAATGGAACATGGAAAGAACCGGGAAACGAACGAATGGTGGTATTGCTGTGGGAACCATGGAATGGACTAAACATTACGGAATAAATATGCTCGTATCATAATTGGAATATTGGATTCAAGACTATGCGACGGAATATGTTTGTTACGTGTCATCCAGCGACCCGTGGAATATTCCGTCTGATTTCCCGTTTTCCTCCGAATGAATCCTTCCCCCGAGCAGGTGGCCGAACGCGATCGTGCTGCCAGGAGCGCCTGGCAGAAGCCCCACCGCCGGGAAGGCTGGCTTCCATAAGCTCCAGAAGAACCTCTCAGAGGAAGAAGCTCCTTGCGGCAGCCCCAAGTGAGAACAAAATAAGCCGCGGTGATAAGCCTCAACCGCGCGCTTGGATGCGCACGCACCTTGGCGCAAGAGTTGCACGATTGGGGTGACTAAAGCGGGCAATTTGTTCATGTGGCCGCGGGCTGATTCCGGGCACGAGTCCTGCGAGATGCAGCGCCCGGTAGTGTTCGTAGGTGTCGAGTGTATACATTCGTGCGCATCAAAAGTCTCAACAACGACCAAGAAGATGGGTTGTTCCGTATTGACCGCTCGCGGCTGTCTGTGCCGGACGATAACCGTATCTCTTGCTTGAAGGGAGACGTGTGCTGGAATGGCCGCAGCGTCAGCGCCAACGAAGACGCGTCATGCCGTTACTTTGTCTTGTTGGTTTCCCCTCTGTTGGGGAGATACTGGAGCGCATTGGGAAGGAGGCTTTGATGTATCGAATTCTATCTGGTATCGATCGCGCCTCTTCTCCCCCTCACGTGTTGCACGGTGCCCCTCCACCACGGTGGTGACGCTGCCTGGCTGGCCCGTGTTTCTTGTTCTCCTGCGATGCAGAAACCGTAACTGCCCGACGCCAGCAAAGGAGGGGCTGGCGCCCCCGCGTCCCGCCCCCGTCCGCGTGCAGGTCGTGCGCGCGGGGGCAAGCCTTGACCAGGTGGTCGGGCAAGACGACAGGCCTAACGAGCCCATCATCGTGGCAAGGCAGCAGCCGGTGAGAGATCTTGAGACCTTGACACGTTGCTTGCTGCTCATGGTGCGGGCTGTGGGGGTGGGAGCGGTGTACGCATTCGTGTGTGTTTGTGTGTGTGCTCATAGCTGTGCATGCCGTTAAGGCTGCTGACCTCGCAGTTGCCAGCTGTTTTGGTGAAGAATAGGCGGCACGGCGCTGACCGTTTGGAGGCAGCGTTTTTTTTTATTGTAGGGTACTGGTCTGCCATGCTAGATTTCTCGTTTCGTGGTATGTCCTGTTAGCGGACTCGTCTGCAGAATGATCCCGGGACTATCAAATTTTTGGCGGGGGCATGACATGGAGTACGGTATTAATATTATGGCGGACAAGGCAAGGAAGTGGCGGTCTCGTTGTCGCTTGGTTTTCAAGTGTTGCGGAGACTCGGGAGCTCCACATTGTTTGTTTGTTCAAGGTGTCTTCATGGTCGGTATTGGATTTCCCAGTCCAGTTGCCCTGATTCTCATCAGAACTCCGACAAAGGGGCTCTGCATTCAAGGGGAGTGATGGTGGTGATCGCGTATTTTTTTCTACGGCGACGATGGCACCCCTTCGTCCGAGCCTAGCCTTACAACGTGTCCGCGACGGTCACACGCGCCGTGTGCTGGACGACGTTCCATCGCTTTCTGCCATCGATCGGGGACATGCTTACTCCCCGGTTTCTTCACAGGTTATGGTCCCCGACGTTGCGGTATTGTCCCGCCTCGTGGACCCGAGCAGCCCCTACAACCCGGCAACGGTAGCGGCAGCAGCAGCAGCCGCGGCCTCCAGCTCCGCCCAGGGCGGGCAGCCACCAACGCCCATCGCCGGCGTCGTTGCGGCGGCGGCGGAGGCGGCCAACGCCAAGGGCGGGCCGGAGACTAGAGGCCAGTGGAAGGACAGCCTCCGAGCCATCAACGACATCATTCTGAGGAGACATTTTGCGGACCTGACGAGGTACGCCATGTACTGTGTACAGGTAACGCCTGCACTTCAGGACAGAAAGACATAATACCTCTTCTTTCGACCGAGGGTTCTTACTGTAGTTCCTAGGTTTACGCTACGAATGGCCGCTATATAGAGTAGTTTTTAGCACAGGCGTTCCTAACCGAGCTCACGGAATGGTGCTCTTGATGTTGGAATATGCGCCTTTTCTGGGCTCAGTTTTGTAGAAGGGATCGAAGAACAAGCTATTTTGACCCTCGTGGCTCTATTTCATTTCGTAAATCCAATACAAGAAAAGCAATCTGCATTCTACTGCTACCAGTAGATGACACCATGAAGAGGCGTTCTATGCGCTGGCACGTTCAGGTTTGCTACTGAAGCTATTATATCAAACTGTCGAAGGTCGCAGCAGCCTCTGAACACAGTCCAAGATCTGCGCCGGAACTTGCCGGAACCACACACTTTCACAGCCGTGCTTACTGCCACGGACCATAAACCTCTGAAAGGAGGCTCGTCAGCAGTAGCTAGTGGCATCGGCTACCTCAAGTCAACCCGCAGTTCAGGGGATTCGGGTCAGTGGCGGCGAGGACAAGCCGTACAAGACACAGCGAACCCGTCTAATTTGCGGAGATTGTAGGACGCTAGTACGACCCTCGATATCATCACTGCAGAAGCAGATGTGTGCGCGCTACCACGCACACCCGGTTGCAATAGGGTGTCCTCCAAGTGACACATGTAGAATGCTAAATCTGGTGCAATCCCGACCTTGTTTGAGCGCCTGCCATTTTGGCTCTTATGGCTTTGATTTGGACTGGTGTGAATTTCATCTTGATTTCAAAGGAGGCGTGTGGTGCAAGACGCGTGAAATGTATGTGGAGAGCAGCCTCTACAGCCACCCTTTGGAATAACCTATGATTTCTGTTTTTCGCTATCCCTTCCGACTGGTCTGGTATATCTCTGTACATTTTCTGGCACTCTTGCGTTTGTTTTCAAATTTAGTCAACGTCAAAATTCTTTGTCTGCCATCCTTTAGCTGCCAAGTTGATGTGCGGGTACTAACTGTATTCGAGAGTTGCTCCGTCAGCTTCATGCATATTTCTCATAGCTCTATGGCGGCTTTGGTACCGCGGTACAGTGTTAGTTGGATATTTGCGGGAAACCCATACCGCAATCAGCTCGGTAGTGTTCCGTACGCGTAGACTAGTGTGCCGATGATTTTGCCGTGGGTCCACTACAGCGTTCGACAATCGATTAGCCTTGTGTGTGTCGATGGATATTTAGAGGAAATCTCCCCTAAAAAAACAACGCTTTTTTCGTGATGGATGCGGCACAAGGCCAGCTGATAGCATCGGTGCGGGCGTGTAGTGTTATTTTCCCTTTGTGGTCCTGCTTTGTGTCTCGACCGATTTGCCGTCTTGCCAGGAAGATGTTATTTGACGTCACGTACCTGTTTCGACTTGCCGCCTTCGAACGCCGTTACTTTGTGCCTTTTCAGCGCTAGCCCATTCACTCCCCATGCCCAAATTCGTCACTCTACTTCGAGCCGTCCACTCAATGGAAGTCTTCGGTTCGCCTATTCCGTTATTTTCGTCCGTTTTCGGGCGTTGCATGCAATGTTGATGTTCTTACATATCTGCGCCGTTTGGCATTGCAAACTATGCGATGCAGCATGGCAAATTCGACGAGCTCTCCCATGTAGTCTACGTATCGATAGCGGGAGCTGTATCTTACGTACGATACATGTTGCCTTCGACGAGTGCAGACGTGCACAGTGAACATTTGACGTCATGGTATTTCATGCGTATGACATGTACGATACCAACGATGCGTCGTTTCTGCTTCGTTTTCCGCAGATCGTTTCTGGCACCGTACGACCAGTACTTTCGGAGAGCTAGACCACCACAGGCTCTGTCGGCATGGCAGGCTTTGGTGAGTGCTGGCTTGCCTGGCGTCCGATTTTTAGGTTGCTGACATGTGAACCCTGATGGCACCCACGGTCACGGTATGAAGGTTTAGGTGCTTGGAGGGATGCGGTACGTGGATTTTTGGTTGGGAGGTGAGCAAGGTTTGTGAGCTCATCACAAGCTCATCACTTGTGACAGCCGCGGCACCGGCAACAGGGACATTCGGAGGTCTTTTCATCTTTCTGCTGTGGGTTTCGTTAGTTAGCGTTAACTTTTTTGGTGAGTCTCCTTTGTGTGCGGGCTCTCGGCCAAACCACTCCGCTGGCACTACTACAAATGCTCTTGATATGGTCTCGTTTACCTCCGCACCTGCCTCGAATGGCGTCACCGAACTCCGGTCAAATGTATGTGTTTCTTCTGTCTGCCCAGGCTTTGAGAAGGTTGTCCGTGTACACCGAGGCGGAGTTGCTGCTACCTCGCTTCGACCAAGAAGAGTTCCTCACCGAAATGTTCGTGGCGGGACCCCCTAAGGTACGGCAAATCTTGTCATTCAGGTGAACACTGTTCCCATGAAGGTACACGTTGTTCCCAATAGGGTACACCTCGTTTCGAAGGAGGTACACCTTGTTCACGAAGGTATACACCTCGTTTCCACGAAGACACCTTGTTTCCGAAGGTACATCTCGTCTCCCAGCAAGGTACACCTTGCTTCTGTTGACTGCCTGCGTGTTTGCGTCGGTGGTTGGTCACACGTGGCTATTGGTGTTTTGTGTCCATGTCTTGCTGTGAATTCACGCACGGAGTAGGTGGTCGAAGTTGGTGGTTTAGAATGTTCATGCATATGTCAAAACGTCAAAGCATCCGTGATGACAGGCCGATTGTGCCCCTGCGTGTACGAGGTGGGTGAGTTGCTGGCAGGCGATTCACGACTTGAGGCAACGTCACCCGGTACGTTTCGGTTCCGCTTGCTCGCCGCCCCTCACTTGTCATCCAGGCGTTCGTGCACGTACAGTGGGAAACCCTGTACCGCCGCTTTATGGACAGCCCAAACTTCCAACCATGGTTCACCACGCAGAGGATGGAGGGCGTCGATCGAATACGGCGAGTACCAAGAAAATCCACACGAACTGCGTACAATTGTGCATACGTGTTCCACTGCTGCGAGGCACGTGCCTTGTTACTTTTTTTTTTCTCCCAACTTTGGACTCTATCGTCTGCCCCTCTGGCCCCTATCCTCCACGGCTACTATTTAGCTAGACGACCCAACCGGGGTCACATAGAAGGACGGGGCTGGACCCCCCTCCTGCGGTTCCTGCCTGAGGTATTTTTATCGCGAGAAGGGTACATCAATCCCTTCCCTCGCGACTTACGAAGTCGATTATGGTTTACTAACAACGAGCTTTGCAGCGCGTCGCTTTTATCCTAGACAAGGATCTATTTAGTGAGAAAAAACACTCACTCTGCCGGGACTCGAACCCATGACTGGCCCTAAGCAGGCTGCGAGGTTATCCACTAGACCACCGGGGCAACCGGTTAGTATGTGAATGTATCGCTCGCGTGATGGCGTCAATGCGGCCGGATACACACGCAAATACGTACGCTTTACCACGGCTCCGGAGGAATGGTGACCTATATGCTTCACGTATGAATGTCACGATGGCGTCTCGCCCCGTCCCGTCCCGTCCCGTCCCCTCCCCTCCCGTCCCAACCCGGTGCAAGCACCGAATAGGAATTCGTGATGTTTAGCACTAGACGGGGCTCGCCCTGTGGAGACAGATTCCCACGACAGTTTCTAAACCCATCCGTAGTTGTTGCTCGTCCGGAACCAGGCGGTGAAATATCTCATCCACACCAAATTCCTTTCCACGTTTGCCACTATTATAGTGTAATCGTGTACGGGGACGTAACTCATTTACACCAAGTCACTTTCAACGTATACCACGATATTATGAAGAAGTCAGCGTAATCGTCCGTGTGGTACGTTTGCGTTCACGGCTTTCGCTCATTCCTGTTGCTGCGCAGGGAGATGAGCCGTGCGATGTGCCTGCGGACGACGCCGCAAGGTATCGTGGAGGCGTGTGCTCCGGCTCGACTACCGCAGGTGAGACACGAGATGAGATGCAGATGGAGCGCGATGGGCGTCGGCCGCGCTCACAATGGTATCGCGTCCGCATCGACGCTGGCCGCTGTAACATTCTGGCCCTGCCGTTGTCTGTTGCTGCTGCAATATATTATAGACCTAGTTTTCTCAAGGTGTCGTTGTTTGTACATACCTTGATGTTGTGCCTTTGCCTTCCGTATGAGCGGCCAGTCGAAAATTTCCTTAGGTTTATGACGGCCTCGGGGCTCCGGAGATGTGCTCTCAGGACAGTCGTGTTAGCGTGGATGCCACGCGTGAGCAGTGAAATAAGCTGGAGGGGTGGCGGTTGTGATTGGTTTGGGTGTTTTGCATCATTTTCTTTGTTGGTCGGAACCTATCACCGTATGTTTCCAACAAAGGTTGGGGCCAGTGCTGCAGACCGAGGCGGGGGATGATGCTGTTGTGGGCTCTGCCTCTTGTGCTGTACCCCTTGTTGCAGCTGCTGGCGAAGATCAAGGCGGCGATAGCTCGACAGTGGCAGAGGAATAACCAGAGCGTCGACTGGGACCTGTTGGAGAGAATGGAGCAGCACCAGAAGGCTGTCGCTTCCGCGATCGTGGCACAGTCCGCTCGTGGTGAGGGGTAGAGAGCACGCCAGACCTTACACGTCAAAAGTTTTCTGTCGATTTTTTTTCCTGACAACACCTTCGTCGTGGAATGCGTTCACCTGGGCAGAATCTGGACCGTCTCGTTTTTTGCCGCGTGTGTCGACTGGGTTCGCACGTGGAGTTTTTCCCCAGCTTCCCTCGTTCTCCCTTCAGAACCCATCGCGACCGAAATGCATCCGTTGTTGAAGTAGTTGCAACGCTTGCTGCTGCGACGGCCACCTTCTCTGATACTGCATTATTGTCGCGATTGGGTGTGGTCGTCGCAGGCCGTAGGTAGAACTTTCGCTTTTCACAACACAAGGATACCTCGGTAGACGTGGGCTTCTCGTGACAGTTGCTGCAAGTTCGCTTGCGTCAACGGGGACAACTCAACCATGTCGGATGCACCATGTGACATGTACCATGAAACATGTACTTTGCAACATGTACTACGCAACATGTGCCATGCAACATGTACCATGCAAACATGTACCATGCAAGTGTGTCTCGCCTTGGCTTGCGTTGGCCCGCCGGACAGGAGCAGCTACCGATGACACGTTTTCCGATTGGTCCATAAGACGCAACTGCTTGCAATTCGTTCAATGCTCTATCCTTCGCAGGAAACGGCACCGTCGCCTCTGCAACCGGATCGATGCAGCCGTGAACGGTGAACTTATCACATGCGCATCAGTTTCTCAAGGTGCCGTCGGCAAGCGTCGACAATGGGCGGTTTCGGCGGGATTGAAGATGGCTATGGAAGCGATCATGGATACGATTCGATGTTGCAGCAACATTCGTTGGTGTCGCTGGGGACCCCAGTCATCAGCAGGTGTTGGTCGCCAGAGGCTTGCGCTCTTTGCACCGCCTGCTCTCGTCACCTCGCTGAATGAAGCGGCTCGTCATGGAGACAAGCCGTTCGATCGAGTGGTGTAACTGACGGTGGCCTTCAAGCAGACGCAGCTTTACTACTTGGAAATAGTGCTGAAGGGCTGCGGCTCTTCTCGGTGGGGGCGCGTGCCGCGTTTTGGCCACAAGACTTTCACGCGCGGTTTGGCGGCAACCCTTTCGTACGCGTTTTGGCTGCAAGCCTTTCTCCTAGCGGGAGAGTACGATATTCAAGCGCGCGCCACGGAGTATCTCGAATTGAAAAAACAATCGGGAAAAGCCAATTGGTTTTCTTCTCGCGCGCTCTCGGCTTGGGCTACTGCGAGATACAGGCGAAGATACATGGCGATAGTGATGATGGGCCGTCAGGTCAGATCCTGGAGTAGCCGCCACGAAGCGAGCATCCGCGAACCCGGAACAGCTCTTCGTGATATACACGGGGAACGTGCGACGTCGCTGATTTTGCATCGGAGAGGCAATGCTTTGACACAATGATCTTCGTGCGGACTTCAGGCGATGTAAATCGGCGATAGCGCAAGACATTTGGTCCCTACGAGGGCGATAGAGTCGTTCGTACATGAGTTCAACCCGTGCGGATGGGAGCTCGTGATGCGGTGTCGTTTCGAACTCAAGTAGACCTTTCCTTTTATGAAGGGCTAGTTTTTCTTGGAGTGATGCTTCAGTGCGGTCATTCGCAACCGGTCTCACCAGTAATTTAATAGATTGGGCAAAGACACGTCGGTCTTACACTCCCGCTTTTGATTGCCGAGCCCTCTTGATGAGAACTGAGAATTGGAGCGCCTTTGCCTGTCTGGCAAAGGTAGTGTGTACCATATGGGTATGCATAGCAGCGATGGTGGATATTGTGTACGTTCAGCCCCCTGGTATCGTTGTGTCACTGCTTGTTGCGGCCGAATAGAATGCTGCTGCGGTGTTGGTGTTGATGTGTGAGTGTTTGGGCGACCCTTGTCGAGTTTTTTACTTCTTTTGGTTCCAAAACAACTGCGATGGTTGTCTGCGGGAACATTTTTTTTTGTTTTTTTTTATGCTGTCGTCGAAGACTAAGTATACACTCAAAACTTGTCTGCCGTTTGGTAGTCTTGACAATATCGCCCGTGGGAGCCTACCGCGAAACCAGAATGGGATGCATTGCCGCGAATCACAGGTCGGTGGGTGAGCTTTCGCGGCTGCACGTTGCACACCTGGGCTGGGGGGTTGCACAGATTGTGCTACTGTGAACCGGGGCGTTGGCGTTGAGGATTTCGTAGGAAATGGACTGGCCGTGCGTATGTCGCCATTTTCCTGCCACATTCGTGCTGTGAAAAATTGTCATACCCTTGGGTGTCTAGAGATTTGTGTTGCTGTTTTTCGAATGTGCGAGTTGATTCTTTGGTGATTGTTGTCGAAGGAGGGAACGTGTTCTTCGTAAGTTATTGGAGTACGTGGACCAGCGTCGACTGGGCTTGCCAATATACATCTCCGCGGCGCTTGCCAGCAACCCCTCCCTCACGCGCTGTACTGAAAGTGTTTTTCAGCGTATCTGTGATATTCAACCACCTCTCCGTTTTGGTCATTCGGAAAATCGTCCTCCGCACCTGACCCATTTTTGTCCCAGATGCCCACCTTTGTCTGATTTTTTCGTTTGAAAATTGTCGTCCTTAAGTCACCGGACGGACGACCGCTTAGAATGAAAAATAATGGACAAGAAGTGAGCACGTGCACAACAAGAATGGGTCGCAATCTAAAGTATGCTACCATGTATACATCAAGTACATTTTGGTAGTGGCTGTAACCGCCGGAGTTTTCGGACAACATCGGGCAACCTTTTGACGACTTGTGCACCGCGGTGGCGTGTGGGTGACGACGTGCCAGTCCGCAAGAATTGACGATGTTCATCGTGTGGACGGGCCTTACTCCATCCATGTTCTCCAGCCATCGGTATTAACGTTTTTCAGTGGCCCCTCGCGTGGTCTCCGCGAAGCATATTTTCGAGTACCCAGTATTGTCCGAGAGAGGGGTGGGCATGCCCACCTGTCTATTTCCCTTCTTTGTGAAATTTACCAACCCCACAAGCAAAAAATGACGTGGGGGGGGGATGTAGTCATTCGTCGTGCATGCCGTAGTCGTTAGACCATTGACCTCGCATCCCTACAAAGCCGGGACGGATCACGCCGGATTCTCACCGGACCAGGCTCTCACATCAACAAGCGCGATGCGCCGTGAGATATTCTGCGAGTCGCATGAAGGGTGAGCTGCATCCTGCTAAGGGTGTTCGGCATCTTGTGCTTACTTCCTTGCGTACGGATGACAGC